ATTTTAAATGAAAGGTAAAGTATTTATACCTGCAACAGTTATTCTAAATGCTCAAAAGAAAATGATGAAGAAAATGTCCTTACATACTTATTTGCTTGATCATTGTAATGACCTGGAAAAAAAAAACTTGAAATAGATCAAATGTATGAATGTAAATGATTAAGAAGAACATATAAGTAAAAAATCAGAAGAAAAAAGATTTAAAACCTGAAGTTTCTAACGAAGGTTTCGAAATACTTCTTTGAATACGACATTAAGTGTTTTCCATTGTGGCTTTCCTTTTGTATCTGTAATAAGCACCTTCAAACCTGCTTTTGATTTCACCCTTGACAATGCAACATATAACTGCCCATGAGAAAACACCGGTCTAGGCAAGTATATACCAACATAAGATAGGGACTGCCCTTGACTCTTGTTGATAGTCATAGCAAATGCAACAGACACCGGAAATTGTCTTCTTCTCATTTTGAAAGGCAATCTCGTATCTGATGGTGTGATCAACATTCTTGGTATTATAACAATTTTCCCAACTTTTGTGCCTGTTAAAATCCGAGTTTGAATAACATGGTCAGCCATTTGCATAATCTGAAGTCTTGTACCATTCATCAAGCCACCATGAGGATCAATATTGCGCATCAACATTATCGGACAACCAATTTTAAGACGAAGTCTATGGTAGGGCAACCCAGAAACCTTGATAGTATTTAGGAAATCAGGAGAATATACCGGATTTTTTTGGGAACGTTTATCTTGAGGGTCGATTGAATCTGAACTTAAATAGATTCGTTCTTCACCTGCAAACAAAATAAATTTTGTTCTCAACGGTTAATTTTTTGCTTTAACTTAATTCATATTACGGATATAAAATTAATAAGTAAAGAAGTACACAGAGATTATACTAACCGTTGAGTGCTGATAACATTAGATCATTTATAGAATTAACATCCTCATTGGTTGGAGCAAGAATAGCTCGTTCTTGGAAAAATTTAACCCAATTACCAAGGTTTAAAGTACAATCATATTCGATTAAATTAATTCTAATAGATAGAAGATATATATTACCTGAGAGTAACCAAGCATCTCAGATATTGTAACCCTAGGGTAGTCAATGCCTTCATTATCATCTTTGGGGAAATAAATCGCTTTATCACCAGAAGAGTTGATTGTCAAAGCCAAGCCATCATTTGGAAGTCTACATTCCAAAAGCATATATCGTTTAAAACCAAAGATAAATTAATGGAATATATAAATGAAAGATATTATTACATACATGCTCTTAAATGATTCCATCTCTTGTATTTGTGGATTGATCAACAGAATGGAAGATTCAAAAGCATTTTCAATGTATCGTGTGTCTGCAATAATATGATACATGAGAAGTTAAAACATATTACAGGAAATAAAGGTATTGAACAGATATGGTAATAAATTAAATGGATTCATGAATCCAATTATTACCTTTGTAAAGATTTTGCTTGACAAATCTCAATAAACAAATGACCATGCCATCATTTGCCTCATGTATTGCCTTGTTAAGCAAGTCAGCATAATTTCCCCATAAAGTACATGAGAGACGAATGTCGCTGTAATAAGATTGTTTTGATTATGAATATTTGATCATATATATTAATGTTACTGATAACGGTTTGATTTTGGAAATATAAGTGATTACTCATTGTCTCTGAGCTGAAACACAATTTTCTTGGTTTCTTTGTTGTTACGATTAAGAATCACTTCAATTCCACCGGAGGAAACAACTTGACCAATAACATCTGTGAAAATATATATAGGACAGATTAGTATAAAACATTTAAAATATAAAACAAACGATAAACAATTTAAAATAAATAATTTTAAAACTTACCAAATAAAATGTTTTTGTCAAGGGTTCCAGCAAGGATATCATCAAACTTGGCGAATGATAAATATTGATCATCAGAAGCCTTTTCAGACTGATTAATTGTAGTACCGTAACGTGTGGTAATCTTGTACTTCAAATGAGAAGGTCGGAACATCCCAGTGCAAGGATGCAAGCCAAAGCTGGTGATTATCTTCCAATCGCCCTCACGCAAACTGTTTGCAAACTTCTTCATATGATCCTTTCTAATAGAAGCTCCCATTTTGTCACCCTATACATTAAAAATAAACTATTATAAACTATATGAACGTTTTATAAATTAAATAAAAGGAAAATAAAAGACATACTTCTTCATCCGCAAGAATCAATTCTATTGATTCACCAGACTTAGCTGAAAACATTCTCCAACTATGAAGAATTTTGACTTCAATACGCCATGAGTTTTTGTAAGGTTTCAAATCTTTGAGTGGTGTGAATGAGAGGGGAAGAGCCATAGACATTTTTGCCGAGTAGGGTTTTTTAGGTTGGGAGAAGAATATGATTGAAAAGTAATCGTAGAAACAAATTTATAGAGTTGTAAATTATTAGTTTTTTAAATGGAAATTACTTGCATTATGGTAATTTTAATTATTTTGAGAGTATAATTAGCAGAATATACTCTAGAAGCAATATTCATTCGAGGATGATTGTGGTTAGAATATCTAATCATTTTTTTGAAATTAACGATTGTGATTTTTTGTTCGCAATTGTAGACTGCGTCCCGACCCATAAGAG